TCACTGATTAACACTGAACCCTGTGGGAGTCTCACTGATTAACACTGAACCCTGTGGGAGTCTCATTAACACTGAACCCTATGGGAGTCTCATTAACACTGAACCCTATGGGAGTCTCACTGATTAACACTGAACCCTGTGGGAGTCTCACTGATTAACACTGAACCCTGTGGGAGTCTCACTGATTAACACTGAACCCTATGGGAGTCTCACTGATTAACACTGAACCCTATGGGAGTCTCACTGATTAACACTGAACGCTGTAGGAGTCTCATTAACACTGAACCCTGTGGGAGTCTCACTGATTAACACTGAACCCTGTGGGAGTCTCACTGATTAACACTGAACCCTGTGGGAGTCTCACTGATTAACACTGAACCCTGTGGGAGTCTCACTGATTAACACTGAACCCTATGGGAGTCTCACTGATTAACACTGAACCCTGTGGGAGTCTCACTGGTTAACACTGAACCCTGTGGGAGTCTCATTAACACTGAACCCTGTGGGAGTCTCACTGATTAACACTGAACCCTGTGGGAGTCTCACTGATTAACACTGAACCCTATGGGAGTCTCACTGATTAACACTGAACCCTGTGGGAGTCTCATTAACACTGAACCCTATGGGAGTCTCACTGATTAACACTGAACCCTGTGGGAGTCTCATTAACACTGAACCCTGTGGGAGTCTCATTAACACTGAACCCTGTGGGAGTCTCACTGATTAACACTGAACCCTGTGGGAGTCTCACTGATTAACACTGAACCCTATGGGAGTCTCACTGATTAACACTGAACCCTGTGGGATTCTCACTGATTAACACTGAACCCTGTGGGAGTCTCACTGATTAACACTGAACCCTGTGGGAGTCTCACTGATTAACACTGAACCCTGTGGGAGTCTCACTGGTTAACACTGAACCCTGTGGGAGTCTCATTAACACTGAACCCTATGGGAGTTTCATTAACAATGAACCCTGTGGGAGTCTCATTAACACTGAACCCTGTGGGAGTCTCACTGATTAACACTGAACCCTGTGGGAGTCTCACTGATTAACACTGAACCCTGTGGGAGTCTCACTGATTAACACTGAACCCTGTGCGAGTCTCATTAACACTGAACCCTGTGGGAGTCTCAGTGATTAACACTGAACCCTGTGGGAGTCTCACTGATTAACACTGAACCCTGTGGGAGTATCACTGATTAACACTGTACCCTATGGGAGTCTCACTGATTAACACTGAACCCTGTGGGAGTCTCATTAACACTGAACCCTGTGGGAGTCTCACTGATTAACATTGAACTCTGTGGGAGTCTCACTGATTAACACTGAACCCTTTGGGAGTCTCACTGATTAACACTGAACTCTTTGGGAGTCTCACTGATTAACACTGAACCCTATGGGAGTCTCATTAACACTGAACCCTGTGGGAGTCTCACTGATTAACACTGAACCCTATGGGAGTCTCATTAACACTGAACCCTATGGGAGTCTCATTAACACTGAACCCTGTGGGAGTCTCATTAACACTGAACCCTATGGGAGTCTCACTGATTAACACTGAACCCTATGGGAGTCTCATTAACACTGAACCCTGTGGGAGTCTCACTGATTAACACTGAACCCTGTGGGAGTCTCACTGATTAACACTGAACCCTATGGGAGTCTCACTGATTAACACTGAACCCTGTGGGAGTCTCATTAACACTGAACCCTGTGGGAGTCTCATTAACACTGAACCCTGTGGGAGTCTCACTGATTAACACTGAACCCTATGGGAGTCTCACTGATTAACATTGAACCATGTGGGAGTCTCACTGATTAACACTGAACCCTGTGGGAGTCTCACTGATTAACACTGAACCCTGTGGGAGTCTCATTAACACTGAACCCTATGGGAGTCTCATTGACACTGAACCCTATGGGAGTCTCACTGATTAACACTGAACCCTGTGGGAGTCTCACTGATTAACACTGAACCCTGTGGGAGTCTCACTGATTAACACTGAACCGTATGGGAGTCTCACTGATTAACACTGAACCCTATGGGAGTCTCACTGATTAACACTGAACGCTGTAGGAGTCTCACTGATTAACACTGAACCCTGTGGGAGTCTCACTGATTAACACTGAACCCTGTGGGAGTCTCACTGATTAACACTGAACCCTATGGGAGTCTCACTGATTAACACTGAACCCTGTGGGAGTCTCACTGGTTAACACTGAACCCTGTGGGAGTCTCATTAACACTGAACCCTGTGGGAGTCTCACTGATTAACACTGAACCCTATGGGAGTCTCACTGATTAACACTGAACCCTGTGGGAGTCTCACTGATTAACACTGAACCCTATGGGAGTCTCACTGATTAACACTGAACCCTGTGGGAGTCTCATTAACACTGAACCCTATGGGAGTCTCACTGATTAACACTGAACCCTGTGGGAGTCTCATTAACACTGAACCCTGTGGGAGTCTCATTAACACTGAACCCTGTGGGAGTCTCACTGATTAACACTGAACCCTGTGGGATCTCACTGATTAACACTGAACCCTGTGGGAGTCTCATTAACACTGAACCCTGTGGGAGTCTCACTGATTAACACTGAACCCTGTGGGAGTCTCATTAACACTGAACCCTATGGGAGTCTCATTAACACTGAACCCTATGGGAGTCTCACTGATTAACACTGAACCCTGTGGGAGTCTCACTGATTAACACTGAACCCTATGGGAGTCTCACTGATTAACACTGAACCCTGTGGGAGTCTCACTGATTAACACTGAACCCTGTGGGAGTCTCACTGATTAACACTGAACCCTGTGGGATCTCACTGATTAACACTGAACCCTGTGGGAGTCTCACTGATTAGCACTGAACCCTGTGGGAGTCTCAATGATTAACACTGAACCCTGTGGGAGTCTCATTAACACTGAACCCTATGGGAGTCTCACTGATTAACACTGAACCCTATGGGAGTCTCATTAACACTGAACCCTGTGGGAGTTTCATTAACACTGAACCCTATGGGAGTCTCACTGATTAACACTGAATCCTGTGGGAGTCTCACTGATTAACACTGAACCCTGTGGGAGTCTCATTAACACTGAACCCTGTGGGAGTCTCACTGATTAACACTGAACCCTGTGGGAGTCTCACTGATTAACACTGAACCCTATGGGAGTCTCATTAACACTGAACCCTATGGGAGTCTCATTAACACTGAACCCTGTGGGAGTCTCACTGATTAACACTGAACCCTGTGGGAGTCTCACTGATTAACACTGAACCCTGTGGGAGTCTCACTGATTAACACTGAACCCTGTGGGAGTCTCATTAACACTGAACCCTGTGGGAGTCTCACTGATTAACACTGAACCCTATGGGAGTCTCATTAACACTGAACCCTGTGGGGGTCTCATTAACACTGAACCCTGTGGGAGTCTCACTGATTAACACTGAACCCTATGGGAGTCTCACTGATTAACACTGAACCCTATGGGAGTCTCACTGATTAACACTGAACCCTGTGGGATTCTCATTAACACTGAACCCTATGGGAGTCTCATTAACAATGAACCCTATGGGAGTCTCACTGATTAACACTGAACCCTGTGGGAGTCTCACTGATTAACACTGAACCCTGTGGGAGTCTCACTGATTAACACTGAACCCTGTGGGAGTCTCACTGATTAACACTGAACCCTGTGGGAGTCTCACTGATTAACACTGAACCCTGTGGGAGTCTCACTGATTAACACTGGACCCTATGGGAGTCTCACTGGTTATCACTGTACCCTGTGGGAGTCTCACTGATTAACACTGAACCCTGTGGGAGTCTCACTGATTAACACTGAACCCTGTGGGAGTCTCACTGATTAACACTGAACCCTGTGGGAGTCTCACTGATTAACACTGAACCCTGTGGGAGTCTCACTGATTAACACTGAACCCTGTGGGAGTCTCACTGATTAACACTGAACCCTGTGGGAGTCTCACTGATTAACACTGAACCCTGTGGGAGTCTCACTGATTAACACTGAACCCTGTGGGAGTCTCACTGATTAACACTGAACCCTGTGGGAGTCTCACTGATTAACACTGAACCCTGTGGGAGTCTCACTGATTAACACTGAACCCTATGGGAGTCTCACTGATTAACACTGAACCCTATGGGAATCTCACTGATTAACACTGAATCCTGTGGGAGTCTCAGTAACACTGAGCCCTATGGGAGTCTCACTCATTAACACTGAACCCTGTGGGAGTCTCATTAACACTGAACCCTATGGGAGTCTCATTAACACTGAACCCTATGGGAGTCTCACTGATTAACACTGAACCCTGTGGGAGTCTCATTAACACTGAACCCTGTGGGAGTCTCATTAACACTGAACCCTATGGGAGTCTCATTAACACTGAACCCTGTGGGAGTCTCATTAACACTGAACCCTATGGGAGTCTCATTAACACTGAACCCTGTGGGAGTCTCATTAACACTGAACCCTATGGGAGTCTCATTAACACTGAACCCTGTGGGAGTCTCATTAACACTGAACCCTGTGGGAGTCTCAGTAACACTGAGCCCTATGGGAGTCTCACTCATTAACACTGAACCCTGTGGGAGTCTCATTAACACTGAACCCTATGGGAGTCTCATTAACACTGAACCCTATGGGAGTCTCACTGATTAACACTGAACCCTGTGGGAGTCTCACTGATTAACACTGAACCCTGTGGGAGTCTCACTGATTAACACTGAACCCTGTGGGAGTCTCACTGATTAACACTGAACCCTATGGGAGTCTCACTGATTAACACTGAACCCTATGGGAGTCTCACTGATTAACACTGAACCCTGTGGGAGTCTCATTAACACTGAACTCTCCCTCCCACTCCTCCCCCCTCCCTCCCACCTCTCCCCCCACTCCCTCCCCTCCCCCCACTCCCTCCCCCCACTCCCCCCACTCCCCCCACTCCCTCCCCCCACTCCCCCCACCTTGGTCGTACTGTACGTAGTGCCTCGCCTCTGTTGCCACAGTGGTGTACGTCCTGAGAACGTTATCGTCCATGATGGCCTCGGCTCTGAAGAGGCTGAAACAGCCGGGCGAGCAGAGGACGCAGCCCAGCACGTGCTCAGTTGTCTTCTGAAGCCAGTGGCCAACGGCGTATTCGAACTTCTGGTACCAGATCAGAGGTCCTGTTGAGTCGACAGAGACACAGAGAGAGATTCAGAGAGAGACAGACACAGAGAGAGAGAGAGATGAGAGAAGAGACACACAGAGACACAGAGAGAGATGAGAGATGAGACACAGAGAGAGAGAGACACAGAGACAGAGAGAGACACAGAGAGAGAGACACACACAGAGACACACACAGAGACACACAGAGACACAGAGACAAACAGAGACACAGCCCAGAACGTGCTCAGTTGTCTTCTGAAGCCAGTGGCCAACGGCGTATTCGAACTTCTGGTACCAGATCAGAGGTCCTGTTGAGTCGACAGAGACACAGAGAGAGAGAGAGATGAGAGATGAGACACAGAGACACAGAGAGAGAGAGAGATGAGAGATGAGACACAGAGACACAGAGAGACACAGAGGACGCAGCCCAGAACGTGCTCAGTTGTCTTCTGAAGCCAGTGGCCAACGGCGTATTCGAACTTCTGGTACCAGATCAGAGGTCCTGTTGAGTCGACAGAGACACAGAGAGAGAGAGATGAGAGATGAGACACAGAGACACAGAGAGACACAGAGGACGCAGCCCAGCACGTGCTCAGTTGTCTTCTGAAGCCAGTGGCCAACGGCGTATTCGAACTTCTGGTACTAGATCAGAGGTCCTGTTGAGTCGACAGAGACACAGAGAGAGAGAGAGAGATGAGAGATGAGACACAGAGACACAGAGAGAGAGAGATGAGAGATGAGACACAGAGACACAGAGAGACACAGAGACACAGAGAGACTCAGAGAGACACAGAGAAAGACACACACACACAGAGACACAGAGACACACAGAGACACACAGAGAGACAGAGACACAGAGAGACACAGAGACACACAGAGACACACAGAGACACAGCCCAGAACGTGCTCAGTTGTCTTCTGAAGCCAGTGGCCAACGGCGTATTCGAACTTCTGGTACCAGATCAGAGGTCCTGTTGAGACAGAGAGACAGAGAGACACAGAGACACAGAGAGAGAGAGAGAGAGATGAGAGATGAGACACAGAGAGAGAGATGAGAGATGAGACACACAGAGACACAGAGAGAGAGAGATGAGAGATGAGACACACAGAGAGAGAGAGAGATGAGAGATGAGACACAGAGACACAGAGAGACACAGAGGACGCAGCCCAGAACGTGCTCAGTTGTCTTCTGAAGCCAGTGGCCAACGGCGTATTCGAACTTCTGGTACCAGATCAGAGGTCCTGTTGAGACACAGAGAGACAGAGAGACACAGAGACACAGAGAGAGAGAGAGATGAGAGATGAGACACACAGAGACACAGAGAGAGAGATGAGAGATGAGACACACAGAGACACAGAGAGAGAGAGATGAGAGATGAGACACACAGAGAGAGAGAGAGAGATGAGAGATGAGACACAGAGACACACAGAGGCACACACAGAGACACAGAGAGACACAGAGACACAGAGAGACGCAGCCCAGCACGTGCTCAGTTGTCTTCTGAAGCCAGTGGCCAACGGCGTATTCGAACTTCTGGTACCAGATCAGAGGTCCTGTTGTTGACAGAGAGATGAGAGATGAGAGAGACACAGAGAGAGACAGAGAGAGATACAGAGAGAGACACAGAGAGAGAGATGAGAGATGAGACACACAGAGACACAGAGAGAGAGAGAGATGAGAGATGAGACACAGAGAGAGAGAGAGAGATGAGAGATGAGACACAGAGACACAGAGACACAGAGAGACACAGAGACACACAGACACACACAGAGACACACAGAGAGACACAGAGACACAGCCCAGAACGTGCTCAGTTGTCTTTTGGAGCCAGTGGCCAACGGCGTATTCAAACTTCTGGTACCAGATCAGAGGTCCTGTTGAGTCGACAGAGAGAGAGACACAGAGAGAGACAGAGAGAGAGAGAGACAGAGAGAGAGATGAGAGATGAGACACACAGAGACACAGAGAGAGAGATGAGAGATGAGACACAGAGAGAGAGAGACACAGAGAGAGAGATGAGAGATGAGACACAGAGAGAGAGAGAGAGACACAGAGAGAGAGAGATGAGAGATGAGACACACAGAGACACAGAGAGAGAGAGAGATGAGAGATGAGACACACAGAGACACACAGAGAGATGCAGAGAGACTCAGAGAGAGACACAGAGACACAGAGACACACAGACACACAGAGACACAGAGACACACAGAGACACAGAGACACACAGAGAGACGCAGCCCAGAACGTGCTCAGTTGTCTTCTGGAGCCAGTGGCCAATGGCGTATTCAAACTTCTGGTACCAGATCAGAGGTCCTGTTGTCGAGAGAGACACAGAGAGAGAGAGAGACACACAGAGAGAGAGACACAGAGAGAGAGAGATACAGAGACACACAGAGACACACAGAGACACTGAGAGACAGAGACACACAGAGAGAGACACACAAAGACACACACAGAGACACACAGACACACAGAGAGACAGAGACACACAGAGATAGACACACACAGACACAGAGACACAGAGACACAGAGAGACACAGAGACACAGAGACACACAGAGAGACACACAGAGACACACAGAGAGAGACACACAGAGAGAGATGAGAGATGAGAGATGAGACACACAGAGACACACACACAGACACACAGAGAGACACAGAGACACACACACAGAGACACACAGAGACACAGAGACACAGAGACAGAGAGACAGCCCAGAACGTGCTTCTGGAGCCAGTGGCCAACGGCGTATTCAAACTTCTGGTACCAGATCAGAGGTCCTGTTGTCGAGAGAGACACAGAGAGAGAGACAGAGAGAGAGACACAGAGAGAGAGACACAGAGAGAGACACAGAGAGAGAGAGAGATGAGAGATGAGACACACAGAGACAGAGAGACGCAGAGAGAGACACACAGACAGACACAGAGAGACGCAATTGGTGGATGCGACCACAGGCTGTATGTGTGTGTGTGTGTCTGTGTGTGTGTGTCTGTGTGTGTCTGTGTGTGTGTCTGTCAGTGTGTCTGTGTGTGTCTGTGTGTCTGTGTGTGTGTGTCTGTGTGTGTGTGTCTGTGACTGTGTGTGTGTGTGTGTGTCTGTGTGTGTGTCTGTGTGTGTGTCTGTGTGTGTGTGTGTCTGTGTGTGTGTGTCTGTGTGTCTGTGTGTGTGTCTGTGTCTGTGTGTGTCTCACCACTCCCCGTGGGATGGATGCGACCACAAGCTGCACCCACGTGTGTGTGTGTGTCTGTGTGTGTCTGTGTGTCTCTCTGTGTGTGTGTCTGTGTGTGTGTGTGTCTGTGTGTGTCTGTGTGTCTCTCTGTGTGTGTGTCTGTGTGTGTGTGTGTCTCTGTGTGTCTGTGTGTCTCTCTGTGTGTGTGTCTGTGTGTGTGTCTGTGACTGTGTGTCTGTGTGTGTCTGTGTGTCTCTCTGTGTGTATGCGTGTCTGTGTGTGTGTGTCTGTGTCTGTGTGTGTGTCTGTGTGTGTGTGTCTGTGTCTGTGTGTGTGTCTCACCACTCCCCGTGGGATGGATGCGACCACAAGCTGCACCCACGTGCGCGTCTCGTCTGAGACGATCAACGAGCAGGCAAAGGGCTGAGGGCACGAAGTCTGTGTCGCCATCTAGCGCCAGCAGGTACGTGTTGTGTTTCACCGTCTGTGGCACGCGACAAAGACACACACAGACAAAGGTCCCCCGTGTAGCCTGCGACAGACCGTAGTAGGGGCAAGTGCTGCTAGAGGCCTATAATCATAGAGACACACAGAGACCCACAGAGACCCATAGAGACTCATAGAGACACATAGAGACCCATAGAGACCTCCAGAGACCCATAGAGACCCACAGAGACCCATACTCATAGAGACTCACAGAGACCCACAGAGACCCACAAAGACTCATAGAGACCCATAGACACAGAGACCCACAGAGACTCATAGAGACCCATAGACACAGAGACCCATAGAGACACACAGAGACCCATACTCATAGAGACCCACAGAGACTCATAGAGACCCATAGCCACAGAGACCCACAGAGACTCACAGAGATTCACAGAGACTCATAGAGACCCATACTCAGACACCCATTTTCATAGACACACACAGACAAAGGTCCCCCGTGTAGCCTGCGACAGACCGTAGTAGGGGCAAGTGCTGCTAGAGGTCTATAATCATAGAGACACACAGAGACCCATAGAGACCTACAGAGACCCATTCTCATAGAGACCCACAGAGACTCATAGAGACCCATACTCATAGAGACCCATAGAGACCCATAGACACAGAGACTCATAGAGACCCACAGAGACCCACAGAGACCCATAGAGACCCATACTCATAGAGACCCACAGAGACACATACTCATAGAGACCCACAGAGACCCATAGAGACCCACATAGACCCATAGAGACCCATAGCGACACATAGAGACACACAGAGACCCATAGAGACCTACAGAGACCCATTCTCATAGAGACCCACAGAAACTCATAGAGACTCACAGAGACCCAGAGAGACTCATAGAGACCCATACTCAGACACCCATTTTCATAGACACACACAGACAAAGGTCCCCCGTGTAGCCTGCGACAGACCGTAGTAGGGGCAAGTGCTGCTAGAGATCTATAATCATAGAGACACACAGAGACCCATAGAGACCTACAGAGACCCATTCTCATAGAGACCCACAGAGACTCATAGAGACCCATACTCATAGAGACCCATAGAGACCCATAGACACAGAGACTCATAGAGACCCACAGAGACCCACAGAGACCCACAGAGACCCATAGAGACCCATAGAGACCCATAGCGACACATAGAGACACACAGAGACCCATAGAGACCTACAGAGACCCATTCTCATAGAGACCTACAGAGACCCATAGAGACCCACAGAGACCCATTCTCATAGAGACCCACAGAGACTCATAGAGACTCACAGAGACCCAGAGAGACTCATAGAGACCCATACTCAGACACCCATTTTCATAGACACACACAGACAAAGGTCCCCCGTGTAGCCTGCGACAGACCGTAGTAGGGGCAAGTGCTGCTAGAGGCCTATAATCATAGAGACACACAGAGACCCATAGAGATCCATAGAGACCCACAGAGACCCATATTCATAGAGACCCACAGAGACTCATAGAGACCCACAGAGACACACAGAGACCCATAGAGACCCATAGAGATCCACAGAGACCCACAGAGACTCATAGAGACTCACAGAGACTCACAGAGACCCACAGAGACCCATAGAGACCCATAGAGATCCACAGAGACCCACAGAGACTCATAGAGACTCACAGAGACTCACAGAGACCCACAGAGACCCACAGAGACACACAGAGACCCACAGTGACCCACAGAGACCCATAGAGACCCATAGAGACCCACAGTGACCCACAGAGACCCATAGAGACCCACAGAGACCCATATTCATAGAGACCCACAGAGACACACTCATAGAGACCCACAGAGACCGATAGAGACACACAGAGACCCATAGAGACACAGAGACACATACTCATAGAGACCCACAGAAACTCATAGAGACCCACAGAGACACACAGAGACCCATAGAGACCCACAGAAACTCATAGAGACCCACAGAGACACACAGAGACCCATAGAGACCCACAGAGACTCATAGAGACTCACAGAGACCCACAGAGACCCATAGAGACCCATACTCAGACACCCATTTTCATAGACATCCAAAGACAAAGATCCCCCATATAGCCTGTAACAGACTGTAGGGGCAAGTGCTGTTAGCGAGCACCTATGAAGGCCGGAACGGTACACGAGGGGGTGGGTGGCCAGCACCACGCCCGACCGCCTTTGTCTCCCTAGTGGTGATGTTTACACACCGCACCAGGTACTCATTTGAGGCTGAGTCGACCTAGGGTGAGGCCCGGGACCGGTTCAGAGAATCGTCACTGGCGGTGTTGGTGGCCGTGAACGGGAATCGAATTCAGGTCGCCAGGTTCATAGCGCAGCGTAGCGCTAACCACTACACTATCGCTCCCCACACACAGACACACACACACACAGACACACACACAGACACACACACAGACACACACACACACACACAGACAGTGACACACACACACAGACACAGACAGACACACAGACACACAGACAGACACACAGACAGACACACAGACACAGAATCATACACACAGACACACAGACACACAGACACAGACACACACACACAGACACACAGACACACACACAGACAGTGACACACACACACACAGACACACAGACAGACACGCAGAGTGTAGTAGTGTACAGTGTAGTGTAGTAGTGTATAGTGTAGTAGTGTATAGTGTAGTGTAGAAGTGTATAGTGTAGTAGTGTACAGTGTAGTAGTGTATTGTGTAGTGTATTAGTGTATAGTGTCGTAGTGTATAGTGTAGTAGTGTATAGTGTAGTAGTGTAGTGTAGTAGTGTATAGTGTAGTAGTGTATAGTGTAGTAGTGTATAGTGTAGTAGTGTAGTGTATAGTGTAGTAGTGTATAGTGTAGTAGTGTATAGTGTAGTGTGTAGTGTATAGTGTAGTGTAGTAGTGTAGAGTGTAGTGTATAGTGTAGTAGTGTATAGTGTAGTAGTGTATAATGTAGTGTAGTAGTGTATAGTGTAGTAGTGTATAGTGTAGTAGTGTTTAGTGTAGCAGTGTATAATGTAGTGTAGTAGTGTATAGTGTAGAGGTGTAGTAATGTATAGTGTAGTAGTGTATAGCGTAGTAGTGTATAGTGTAGTGTATAGTGTAGTAGTGTATAGTGTAGTAGTGTATAGTGTAGTGTATAGTGTAGTAGTGTATAGTGTAGTAGTGTATAGTGTAGTAGTGTATAGTGTAATAGTGTATAGTGTAGTGTATAGTGTAGTAGTGTATAGTGTAGTAGTGTATATTGTAGTGTAGTAGTGTAGTAGTGTAGAATGTAGTGTAGTAGTGTATAATGTAGTGTATAGTGTAGTGTATAATGTAGTGTATAGGGTAGTAGTGTATAATGTAGTGTAGTAGTGTATAATGTAGTGTATAGTGTAGTAGTATATAGTGTAGTGTATTGTGTAGTAGTGTATAATGTAGAAGTGTATAATGTAGTGTATAGTGTATAATGTAGTGTATTGTGTAGTAATATATAGTGTAATAGTGTATAATGTAGTGTGTAATGTAGTGTGGTAGTGTATAATGTAGTGTATAATGTAGTGTAGTAGTGTATAATGTAGTGTATAATGCAGTGTAGTAGTGTATAATGTAGTGTATAATGTAGTATATAATGTAGTGTAGTAATGTATAATGTAGTGTAGTAGTGTATAATGTAGTGTAGTAGTGTATAGTGTAGTAGTGTGTAGTGTAGTAGTGTATAGTGTAGTAGTGTATAGTCTAGTGTAGTAGTGTATAGTGTCGTAGTGTATAGTGTAGTAGTGTATAGTGTAGTAGTGTATAGTGTAGTAGTGTATAGTGTAGTAGTGTATAGTGTAGTAGTGTGTAGTGTAGTAGTGTATAGTGTAGTAGTGTATAGTCTAGTGTAGTAGTGTATAGTGTAGTAGTGTATAGTGTAGTAGTGTATAGTGTAGTAGTGTATAGTGTAGTAGTGTGTAGTGTAGTAGTGTATAGTGTAGTAGTGTATAGTCTAGTGTAGTAGTGTATAGTGTAGTAGTGTATAGTGTAGTAGTGTATAGTGTAGTAGTGTATAGTGTAGTAGTGTATAGTGTAGTAGTGTATAGGGTAGTAGTGTGTAGTGTAGTAGTGTATAGTGTAGTAGTGTATAGTCTAGTGTAGTAGTGTATAGTGTAGTAGTGTGTAGTGTAGTAGTGTATAGTGTAGTAGTGTATAGTGTAGTAGTGTATAGTGTAGTAGTGTATAGTGTAGTGTAGTGTATAGTGTAGTAGTGTATAGTGTAGTAGTGTATAGTGTAGTAGTGTAGTGTAGTGTATAGTGTAGTAGTGTAGTGTAGTAGTGTATAATGTAGTGTATAGTGTAGTAGTGTGTAATGTAGTGTAGTAGTGTATAGTGTAGTAGTGTATAGTGTAGTATTCTGTATAATGTAGTGTATAGTGTAGTAGTGTAGTAGTGTATAATGTAGTGTAGTAGTGTATAATGTAGTGTATAGTGTAGAGTAGTTGTGTATAATGTAGTGTATAATGTAGCGTATAATGTAGTGTAGTAGTGTCTAATGTAGTGTATAATGTAGTGTATAGTGTAGTGTAGTAGTGTAAAATGTATTGTAGGATTGTATAAAATAGTGTATAATGTAGTGTAGTAGTGTATAATGTAGTGTAGTAGTGTATAATGTAGTGTATAATGTAGTGTATAATGTAGTGTAGTAGTGTATAATGTAGTGTATAATGTAGTGTATAGTGTAGTGTGGTAGTGTATAATGTAGTGTAGTAATGTATAAAGTAGTGTAGTAGTGTATAATGTAGCGTATAGTGTAGTGTATAGTGTAGTGTAGTAGTGTATAGTGTAGTGGAGTAGTGTATAATGTAGTGTATAGTGTATAATGTAGTGTATAAAGTAGTGTATAGTGTAGTGTAGTAGTGTATAATGTAGTGTATAAAGTAGTGTATAGTGTAGTGTAGTAGTGTATAATGTAGTGTAGTAGTGTATAGTGTAGTGTATAGTGTAGTGTAGTAGTGTATAATGTAGTGTAGTAGTGTATAGTGTAGTAGTGTATAATGTAGTGTAGTAGTGTATAGTGTAGTAGTGTATAGTGTAGTAGGGTATAGTGTAGTGTATAGTGTAGTGTAGTAGTGTATAATGTAGTGTAGTAGTGTATAAAGTAGTGTATAATGTAGTGTAGTGTATCTTACCTTGTACCATTCCTCTCTGAACTGTGGTGGAATTGATTCCATCTTCTTGTGCATCTTCCATCCCAGCAGGTAGTACATGTACATCACCTGCACACAGACACAGGTCACCCAGGTAGCCTCTAGCAGGGCTGTAGGGGCAAGTGTAGTTACACAGACACAGACAAAGCTCCCCCAGGTAGCCTCTAGCAGGGCTGTAGGGGCAAGTGCAGTTACACAGACAAATACAAACCTCCCCCAGGTAGCCTCTAGCTGTAGGGGCAAGTGCTGTTAGTAGTAGCGAGTAGCACACAGACAAATGAGTGGGTGGGTGAGTGAGTGAGTGAGTGGGTGAGTGAGTGAGTGGGTGAGTGAGTGAGTGAGTGGGTGAGTGAGTGAGTGAGTGGGTGAGTGAGTGGGTGAGTGGGTGAGTGAGTGGGTGAGTGAGTGAGTGGGTGGGTGAGTGAGTGGGTGAGTGAGTGATTGGGTGAGTGAGTGGGTGAGTCGGTGAGTGAGTGGGTGAGTGGGTGAGTGAGTGAGTGGGTGGGTGAGTGGGTGAGTGAGTGAGTGGGTGAGTGAGTGGGTGAGTGAGTGAGTGGGTGAGTGTGTGGGTGAGTGAGTGGGTGAGTGGGTGGGTGAGTGAGTCGGTGAGTGAGTGGGTGAATGAGTGGGTGGGTGAGTGAGTGGGTGGGTGAGTGAGTGGGTGAGTGAGTGAGTGGGTGAGTGAGTGGGTGAGTGGGTGAGTGAGTGGGTGAGTGGGTGAGTGAGTGGGTGGGTGAGTGGGTGAGTGAGTGGGTGAGTGAGTGAGTGAGTGTGTGTGTGGGTGAGTGAGTGAGTGGGTGAGTGAGTGGGTTCGGTGTTGAGCTGATTCGCCATCGCAAGCGCTGGTCACCCACCCACTCACTCACTCACCCACTCAGTCACCCACTCGCTCACTCACCCACCCACCCACTCACTCACTCAATCACTCACCCACTCACTCACTCACTTACCCACTCACTCACTCACCCACTCACTCACCCACTCGCTCACTCACCCACTCACTCACCCACTCACTCACTCACTCACCCACTCACTCACCCACTCACCCACCGACTCATTCACTCACTCTCCCACTCACCCACTCACTCACTCACCCACTCACTCACCCACCCACTCACTCACTCACCCACTCACCCACTCACTCACTCACTCACCCACTCACCCCCCCACCCACTCACTCACTCACACACTCACCCGTCCACCCCCCCACTCACTCACTCACCCACTCACCCACTCACTCACTCACCCACCCACTCACCCCTCCACCACCCACTCACTAACTCACTCACTCACCCACCCACTCACTCACCCACTCACTCACTCACCCACCCACCCACTCACCCACTCACTCACTCACTCACCCACTCACTCACCCGCCCACTCACTCAATCACTCACTCACTCACTCACCCACTCACTCACCCACCCACTCTCTCACCCACTCACTCATTCAATCACTCACCCATTCACTCACCCACCCACCCACCCACTCACCCACTCACCCACCCACTCACTCACCCACTCACCCACTCACCCACCCACTCACTCACCCACCCACTCACCCACTCACTCACCCACCCACTCACTCACCCACTCACTCAATCACCCACTCACTCACCCACCCACCCACTCACTCACTCACCCACCCACTCACCCACCCACCCATTCACTAACCCACTCACTCACTCACCCACTCACTTACCCACTCACTCACCCACCTACCCACTCACTCACTCACCCACTCACTCACCCACTCACTCACTCACTCACCCACCCACTCAATCACTCACCCACTCACTCACCCACTCACTCACTCACTCACCCACCCACTCACCCACTCACCCACTCACACACCCACTCACCCACTCACTCACTCACTCACCCACTCACTCACCCACTCACTCACTCACCCATCCACCCACCCACCCACCCACCCCCCCACTCACCCACTCACCCACCCACTCACCCACCCACTCACCTACTCACTCACCCACCCACTCACTCACTCACCCACCCACTCACCCCTCCACCACCCACTCACTAACTCACTCACTCACCCACCCACCCACTCACTCACCCACTCACTCACTCACCCACCCACCCACCCACTCACTCACTCATCCACTCACCCACTCACCCCCCCACCCACCCACCCACTCACCCACTCACTCACCCACCCACTCACTCACCCACCTAGCCACTCACTCACTCACCCACTCACTTACCCACTCACTCACCCACCCACCTACCCACTCACTCACTCACCCACTCACTCACCCACTCACTCACACACTCACCCACTCACTCACCCACCCACTCACCCACCCACCCACTCACTCACCCACCCACCCACCCACTCACCCACTCACTCACTCACCCACTCACTCACCCACTCACACACCCACTCACCCACTCACTCACTCACTCACCCACTCACTCACCCACTCACTCACCCATCCACCCACCCACCCACCCACCCACCCCCCCCACTCACCCACTCACCCACCCACTCACCCACCCACTCACCTACTCACTCACCCACCCACTCACTCACTCACCCACCCACTCACCCCTCCACCACCCACTCACTAACTCACTCACCCACCCACTCACCCACTCACTCACCCACTCACTCACTCACCCACCCACCCACTCAATCACTCACCCACTCACCCACTCACCCACTCACTCACTCATCCACCCACTCACCCACTCACTCACCCACCCACCCACTCACCCACCCACTCACTCACCCACTCACTTACCCACTCACTCACCCACCCACCCACTCACTCACCCACCTACCCACTCACCCACTCACTCACTCACCCACCTACCCACTCACCCACTCACCCCCCCACTCACCCACCCACCCACCACCCCACCCACCCTCCTCCCCCCACCCTACCTGTGACCAGCGCTTGCGATGTCGAATGAGCTCCTTGTCCTTGACGTGCACGTGGAGGCGATTTCCGAAAGGCAGGCGGTAGGAGAGACGCGCGCCATAGGGCGTCTCCCTCAGAACCACCCGGACACCCACAGAGTCAGAACCAGCAGTGGTAGGGCTCTCAAAGTAGCTGGTGGGTGGTGGTGGTGGTGGTGGTGGTGGTGATGGTGGTGATGGTGGTGGTGGTGGTGGTGGTGGTGGTGATGGTGGTGGTGGTGGTGATGGTGGTGGTGGTGATGGTGGTGGTGGTGGGAGTGGTGGTGGTGAGGGTGAGGGTGGTGGTGGTGAGGGTGGTGGTGAGGGTGGTGGTGGTGGTAGTGTAGTGGTGGTGGTGATGGTGGTGGTGTAGTGGGGGTGGTGGTGGTGAGGGTGATGGTGGTGGTGGTGGTGGTGAGGGTGGTGGTGTAGTGGTGAGGGTGGTGGTGGTGGTGGGAGTGGTGGTGGTGGTGGTGAGGGTGGTGGTGTAGTGGTGAGGGTGGTGGTGGTGATGGTGGTGGTGGAGGTGGTGGTGAGGGTGGTGGTGATGGTGTAGTGGTGGTGGTGGTGGTGAGGGTGGTGGTGGTGATGGTGGTGGTGGAGGTGGTGGTGAGGGTGGTGGTGATGGTGTAGTGGTGGTGGTGGTGGTGAGGGTGGTGGTGGTGATGGTGGTGGTGGAGGTGGTGGTGAGGGTGGTGGTGGTGGTGTAGTGGTGGTGGTGGTGGTGAGGGTGGTGGTGGTGGTGTAGTGGTGAGGGTGGTGGTGAGGGTGGTGGTGGTGGTGTAGTGGTGAGGGTGGTGATGGTGGTGAGGGTGGTGGTGGTGGTGAGGGTGGTGGTGGTGGTGGTGGTGAGGGTGGTGGTGGTGGTGAGGGTGGTGGTGGTGGTGGTGGTGAGGGTGGTGGTGAGGGTGGTGGTGGTGGTGGTGAGGGTGGTGGTGGTGGTGGTGAGGGTGGTGGTGGTGGTGGTGGTGAGGGTGGTGGTGAGGGTGGTGGTGGTGGTGAGGGTGGTGGTGGTGGTGATGGTGGTGGTGGGAGTGGTGATGGTGGTGTAGTGGTGGTGGTGGTTGTGCGGGAGGCAATGGGTGGGATGGGAGAGGAGAAATGTGAGAGATTACACTTCTACACTACACACTACTACACTATACACTACTACACTATACACTACTACACTACACTATACACTACTACACTATACACTACTACACTATACACTACTACACTATACACTACTACACTAGACTATACACTACTACACTATACACTCCTACACTATACACTACTACACTATACACTACTACACTATACACTACTACACTATACACTACTACACTATACACTACTACACTATACACTACTACACTACACACTACTACACTATACACTATACACTACTACACTATACACTACTACACTATACACTACTACACTATACACTCCTACACTATACACTACTACACTATACACTACTACACTATACACTTCTACACTACTACACTACTACACTATACACTACTACACTATACACTACTACACTACACTATACACTACTACACTATACACTACTACACTATACACTACTACACTATACACTACTACACTATACACTACTACACTATACACTACTACACTATACACTACTACACTATACACTACTACACTATACACTACTACACTATACACTACTACACTATACACTACTACACTATACACTACTACACTATACACTACTACACTATACACTCCTACACTATACACTACTACACTATACACTACTACACTATACACTACTACACTATACACTACTACACTATACACTACTACACTATACACTACTACACTATACACTACTACACTATACACTACTACACTATACACTACTACACTATACACTACTACACTATACACTACTACACTATACACTACTACACTATACACTACTACACTATACACTACTACACTATACACTACTACACTATACACTACTACACTATACACTACTACACTACACACTACTACACTATACACTATACACTACTACACTATACACTACTACACTATACACTACTACACTATACACTACTACACTATACACTACTACACTATACACTACTACACTATACACTACTACACTATACACTACTACACTACACTATACACTATACACTACACACTACTACACTATACACTACTACACTATACACTACTACACTATACACTACTACACTATACACTACTACACTATACACTACTACACTATACACTACTACACTATACACTACTACACTATACACTCCTACACTATACACTACTACACTATACACTACTACACTATACACTACTACACTATACACTACTACACTATACACTACTACACTATACACTACTACACTATACACTACTACACTATACACTACTACACTATACACTACTACACTATACACTACTACACTATACACTACTACACTACACTATTACACTATACACTACTACACTATACTCTACACTACTACACTATACACTACTACACTATACACTACTACACTATACACTACTACACTATACACTACACACTACTACACTACACTATACACTACTACATTACACTATACACTACTACACTATACACTACTACACTATACACTACTACACTATACACTACACACTACTACACTACACTATACACTACTACACTACACTATACACTACTACACTATACACTACTACACTATACACTACTACACTATACACTACTACACTATACACTACTACACTATACACTACTACACTATACACTACTACACTATACACTACTACACTATACACTACTACACTATACACTACTACACTGTACACTACTACACTATACACTACTACACTATACACTAGTAAACTATACACTACTACACTATAAACTACTACACTATACATTATACACTACTACACTATACACTACTACACTATACACTACTACACTACACTATACACTACTACACTATACACTACTACACTATACACTACTACACTACACTATACACTACTACACTATACACTACTACACTATACACTACTACACTATACACTACTACACTATACACTACTACACTATACACTACTACACTATACACTACTACACTATACACTACTACACTATACACTTCTACACTATACACTACTACACTACACTATACACTACTACACTATACACTACACTATACACTACTACACTACACTATACACTACTACACTATACACTACTATACTATACACTACTACACTATACATTACTACACTACTACACTATACACAATACACTACTACACTATACACTAGTACACTACTACACTACACTATACACTACTACACTATACACTACTACACTATACACTACTACACTATACACTACTACACTATACACTACTACACTACTATACTATACACTACTACACCATACACTACTACACTATACACTACTACACTATACACTACTACACTATACACTACTACACTATACACTACTACACTATACACTACTACACTACTACACTACTACACTATACACTACTACACTATACACTACACTACTACACTATACACTACTACACTATACACTACTACACTATACACTACTACAGTATACACTACACTATACACTACTACACTATACACTACTACACTATACACTACTACACTATACACTACTACACTATACACTACTACACTATACACTATACACTACTACACTACACTACTACACTATACACTACTACACTATACACTACTACACTACTACACTATACACTACTGCACTATACACTACTACACTATACACTATACACTACTACACTACACTATACACTACTACACTACACTATACACTACTACACTACACACTACTACACTATACACTACTACACTACACACTACTACACTATACACTATACACTACTACACTATACACTACTACACTATACACTACTACACTACACTATACACTACTACACTACTACACTATACACTACTACACTACACTATACACTACTACACTACACACTACTACACTATACACTACTACACTATACACTACTACACTATACACTACTACACTATACACTACTACACTATACACTACTACACTATACACTACTACACTATACACTACTACACTACACTATACACTACTACACTCACCTGCACACATCCTGCACCACGCCCAGTAGACATGACACGTAGCTATTCACCACGCGACCTCTCCTCGTCCTTCCAGTCGTTGGTGGTGGTGGTGGTGATGGTGGTGATGATGGTGATGGTGGTGATGGTGGTGATGATGGTGATGGTGGTGATGGTGGTGATGGTGGTGGTGATGGTGATGGTGGTGATGTTTGGAAGGCATCGTCAAAGAAGATATGTGCCTCGAAGTCGTACGGTTCACGGATCTTGGAAGCTCCACGCTGCTCGAAATGGCAACGTGGCTGACTCCTGTCCAGCCTGTACAGGTGGTGGGGGTGGTGGTGGTGGTGTAGTGGTGTAGTGGTGGTGTAGGTTTAGTGGTGGTGGTGTAGTGGTGGTGTAGTGGTGGTGTAGTGGTGGTGGTGTAGTGGTGGTGGTGGTGTAGTGGGGGTGGTGGTGGTGGGAAGAAAATGATGAGATTATAGAGAAAGATGATGATGGTGGTGATGGTGGGGGTGGAGATGGTGGTGGTGGTGGGGGTGGTGATGGTGGTGGTGGTGGTGATGGTGGGGGTGGTGATTGGGGTAGTGATGGTGGTGATGGTGCTGGTGATGGTGGTGGTGATGGTGCTGGTGGTGGTGGTGATGGTGGTGGTGATGGTGGTGGTGATGGTGGTGGTGATGGTGGTGGTGATGGTGGTGGTGATGGTGGTGGTGGTGATGGTGGTGATGATGGTGGTGGTGATGGTAGTGATGGTGATGATGGTGGTGAACTCACCGCAGGATGGAGGTGATGATGTTGGTGGTGATGGTGGTGATGGTGGTGGTGATGATGGTGATGGTGGTGGTGATGATGGTGATGATGGTGGTGGTGGAGGTGGTAGTGGAGGTGGAGGTGGTGGTGGTGATGGTGATGGTGGTGATGGTGATGGTGGTGATGGTGGTGGTGATGGTGGTGGTGATGGTGTTGTTGGTGGTGATGGTGGTGGTGATGGTGGTGGTGGAGGTGGTGATGATGGTGGTGATGGTGGTGGTGGTGATGGTGGTGGTGGTGATGGTGATGATGGTGGTGATGGTGATGATGATGTTGGTGATGGTGGTGATGGTGATGGTGGTGATGATGGTGGTGGTGATGGTGGTGGTGGTGATGATGGTGGTGATGGTGGTGGTAGTGATGGTGGTGGTAGTGATGGTGGTGGTGATGATGGTGGTGATGGTGGTGGTAGTGATGGCAGTGATGGTGATGGTGGTGATGGTGATGATGGTGATGATGGTGATGGTGGTGATGGTGATGGTGGTGATGGTGGTGATGGTGATGATGGTGGTGATGGTGGTGATGGTGGTGGTGGTGATGGTGGTGACGGTAGTGATGGTGGTGATGGTGGTGGTGATGGTGGTGGTGGTGATGGTGGTGATGGTTGTGATGGTGATGATGGTGGTGATGGTGGTGATGGTGGTGATGATGATGGTGGTGATGGTGATGATGATGTTGGTGATGGTGGTGATGGTGATGGTGGTGATGGTGATGATGGTGATGGTGGTGATGGTGATGGTGGTGATGGTGATGATGGTGATGATGGTGGTGATGGTGGTGATGGTGGTGGTGGTGGTGATGGTAGTGATGGTGGTGATGGTGGTGGTAGTGATGGTGGTGATGGTGGTGATGATGATGATGGTGATGATGGTGGTGGTGATGGTGATGGTGGTGATGGTGGTGATGGTGGTGGTGGTGGTGATGGTAATGATGGTGGTGATGATGATGGTGATGATGACGGTAGTGATGGTGGTGATGGTGGTGGTGATGGTGATGGTGGTGGTGGTGATGGTGGTGATGGTGGTGATGGTGGTGGTGGTGATGGTGGTGATGGTGATGGTGGTGATGGTGATGATGGTGATGGTGGTGATGGTGATGGTGGTGATGGTGGTGATGGTGATGATGGTGATGATGGTGGTGATGGTGGTGATGGTGGTGGTGGTGGTGATGGTAGTGATGGTGGTGATGGTGGTGGTAGTGATGGTGGTGATGGTGGTGATGATGATGATGGTGATGATGGTGGTGGTGATGGTGATGGTGGTGATGGTGGTGATGGTGGTGGTGGTGGTGGTGATGGTAATGATGGCGGTGATGATGATGGTGATGATGGTGATGGTGGTGATGGTGATGGTGGTGATGATGATGGTAATGATGGTGATGGTGATGATGGTAGTGATGGTGGTGATTGTGGTGATGATGGTGGTGATGGAGGTGATGATGGTGGTGATGATGGTAGTGATGATGGTGGTGGTAGTGATGGTGGTGATGGTGGTGATGGTGGTGGTAGTGATGGTGGTGATGGTGGTGATGATGATGATGGTGATGATGGTGGTGGTGATGGTGGTGGTGATGGTGATAGTGATGGTGGTGATGGTGGTGGTAGTGATGGTGGTGATGGTGGTGATGATGATGATGGTGGTGGTGATGGTGGTGGTGATGGTGGTGGTGGTGGTAGTGATGATGGTGGTAGTGATGGTGATGGTAGTGATGGTGATGATGGTAGTGATGGTGGTCGTGATGGTGGTGATGGTGTTGGTGATGATGGTGGTGGTGGTGGTGTTGGTGGTAGTGATGGTGGTGATGGTGGTGGTGATGATGGTGATGTTGGTGGTGATGGTGGTGGTGATGGTGGTGGTGGTGATGGTGGTGGTGATGATTTTGGTGATGGTGGTGGTGATGGTGGTGGTGATGGTGGTGGTGGTGATGATGGTGGTGATGGTGGTGATGATTTTGGTGATGGTGATGGTGGTGGTGATGGTAGTGGTGATGGTGGGGGTGGTGATGGTGGTGATGGTGGTGGTGATGGTGGTGATGGTGGTGGTGGTGGTGGTGATGATGGTGGTGATGGTGGTGATGATGGTAGTGATGGTGATGATGGTAGTGATGATGATCATGGTGATGATGATGGTGGTGATGATGGTGATGATGGTAGTGATGATGATGGTGATGGTGGTAGTGATGATGATGATGGTGGTGGTGATGATGGTGGTGGTGGTGATGTTAGTGATGGTGGTGATGGTGATGGTGGTGGTGGTAGTGATGGTAATGATGGTAGTGATGGTGATGGTGGTGGTAGTGATGGTGATGGTGGTGATGGTAGTGATGGTGATGGTGGTAGTGATGGTGGTAGTGATGGTGGTGGTGGTAGTGATGGTGATGGTGGTGATGGTAGTGATGGTGATGGTGGTAGTGATGCTGGTAGTGATGGTGGTGGTGATGGTGGTGATGGTGATGATGATGTTGGTGGTGATGGTAGTGATGGCGATGGGGGTGATGGTGGTGGTGATGGTAGTGATGGTGGTGATGGAAGTGATGATGGTGATGATGGTAGTGATGGTGATGATGGTGGTAGTGATGGTGGTGGTAGTGATGGTGATGATGGTGGTGGTAGTGATGGTGGTGATGATGGTAGTGATGATGGTGATGATGGTGGTGGTAGTGATGGTGGTGATGGTGATGATGGTAGTGATGGTGATGGTGGTGGTAGTGATGGTGGTGGTGATGGTGGTGGTAGTGATGGTGATGGTGGTGAACTCACCGCAGGATGGAGGTGATGGTGGTAGTGGTGGTGATGGTGGTGGTGGTGATGATGATGGTGGTGGTGATGATGATGATGATGGTAGTGATGATGGTAGTGATGGTGATGGTAGTGATGGTGATGGTGGTGATGATGATGGTGGTGGTGGTGAACTCACCGCAGGATGGAGGTGATGGTGGTGGTAGTGGTGGCGATGGTGATGGTGGTGATGATGATGATGGTGGTGGTAGTGGTGGTGATGGTGATGGTGGTGGTAGTGATGGTAGTGGGGATGATGGTGATGATGGTGGTGATGGTGGTGGTAGTGATGGTGATGGTGGTGAACTCACCTCAGGATGGAGGTGATGATGTTTGTCATCTCCTCCTTTGTCTCGTGCCACATCGTGGCACACAAATAGATAAAGACTCGCTCATTCTGAGCCCTGTGAGACACACAGAGACACACACAGTGACACATAGACACTCAGAGACACACACAGAGACACACAGACACTCAGAGACACACAGAGACACACACAGAGATACTCAGAGACACTCAAACACACACAGAGACACACACAGAAACACACACACAGAGACACACACACAGAGACACACAGAGACACTCATACACAGAGACACTCAGAGACACACACAGTGACACACAGACACACACACAGAGACACACACAGAGACACACAGACACACACAGAGACACACACAGAGACACACAGAGATACTCAGAGACACACAGAGAGACACACAGAGACACACCGAGACACCAAGAGACACAGAGAGACACAGAGACACACACATAGAGACACACGCAGAGACACACAGAGACACACACAGACACACACAGATACACACACACACAGACACACACACAGAGACACTCAGAGACACACAGAGACACACAGAGACACTCAGACACACACAGAGACACACACAGAGACACACACAGATACACACAGAGACACACACAGAGACACACACAGAGACACACACAGAGACACACACAGATACACACAGACACACACACACAGAGACACACAGAGACACACAGAGACACACACAGACACATAGAGACACACAGAGACACACACACAGAGACACACAGAGACACACTCAGAGACACACACAGACACACAGAGACACACACAGAGATACTCAGAGACACTCAGACACACACAGAGACACACAGAGACACACACAGAGACACACACAGACACAGAGACACACAGACACACACAGAGACACACACACAGAGACACACACAGAGACACACAGAGACACACATACACAGAGACACTCAGAGACACACACAGTGACACACAGACACACACACAGAGACACACACAGAGACACACAGAGACACAGAGACACACAGACACACAGAGAGACACACACATACACAAAGAGACACACAGAGACACACACACACAGATACACACACAGAGACACACAGAGACACACAGAGACACACACAGAGACGCAGAGACACACACAGAGACACACACAGAGACACACACAGAGACACACAGAGAGACACACAGAGACACACCGAGACACAAAGAGACACAGAGAGACACAGAGAAACACACATAGAGACACACACAGAGACACACATATAGAGACACACACAGAGACACACACAGAGACACACAGACACACACAGAGACACACAGAGACACACACAGAGACACACACAGAGACACAGAGACACACAGAGACACACACAGAGACACACACAGACACACACAGACACTCACTCACACACGGAGGCACACAGAGACACCCAGAGACACTCAGAGACACACACAGAGACACAGAGACACACACAGACACACACAGAGACACAGAGACACACAGACACACACAGAGACACACAGAGACACACACAGAGACACACAGAGACACACACAGAGACACACACAAAGACACACACAGACACACACAGAGACACACACAGAGACACAGAGATACACTCAGAGACACACAGAGACACACACAGAGACACACAGAGACACACACAGAGACACACAGAGACACACACAGAGACACACAGAGACACACAGACACACACACAGACACACACAGAGACACTCAGAGACACTCAGAGACATACAGACTCACAGACTAACACAGAGAAACACAGAGACACACAGACACACAGAGACAAACACACAGACACACAGAGACATACACACAGAGACACACAGAGTCACACACAGAGACACACAGACTAACACAGAGAAACACAGAGACTCACACACAGAGATACTCAGAGACATACACAGAGACTCACACACAGAGACACACACTCAGAGACATACACACAGACACACACAGAGACACACACACAGAGACACACACACAGAGACTCACAGACTAACACAGATAAACACTCAGACACACACAGAGACACACACAGAGACACACAGACTCACAGACTAACACAGAGAAACATAGAGACTCACACACAGACACACACACAGACACACAGAGACACACACAGAGACACACAGAGACACACACAGAGACACACAGAGACACACACAGAGACACACACACAGACACACACAGAGACACACAGACTAACACAGAGAAACACACAGAGACACACACAGAGACACAGAGATTCACACACAGAGACACTCAGAGACGCACAGAGACACACACAGAGACACAGAGACCCACAGACTAACACAGAGACACACAGAGACATACACACAGACACTCAGAGACGCACACAGAGACTCACAGACTAACACAGAGACACTCAGAGACACACATAGACACTCAGAGACACACACAGAGACACACAGAGACTCACAGACTAACACAGAGAAACACATAGACACTCAGAGACACACAGAGACACTCAGAGACACACATAGACACTCAGAGACACACACAGAGACACACAGAGACATACACACATAGACACTCCGAGACACACACAGAGACACACAGACTCACAGACTAACACAGGAACACACACACAGACACACACAGAGACATACAGACACACACAGAGACACACAGACTCACAGACTAACACAGAGACACACACAGACATACACAGAGACACACACAGACTCACAGACACACACAGACTCACAGACTAACACAGAGACACACAGAAACATACACACAGACACTCAGAGACACACACAGAGACACACAGACTCACAGACTAACACAGAGAAACACAGAGACTCACACACAGACACACACAGAGACACAGAGACTCACAGACTAACACAGAGAAACACAGAGACATACAGACACACACAGAGACACACACACACACACTCAGAGACACACACAGAGACACACACAGACACACACACACAGAGACACACAGAGACATACACACAGACACACAGAGACACACACAGAGACATACACACAGACACTCAGAGACACACACACAGACACTCAGAGACACACACAGAGACACACACAGAGACACACACACAGAGACACACAGAGACATACACACAGACACACAGAGACACACACAGAGACATACACACAGACACACAGAGACATACACACAGACACACACAGAGACACAGAGACTCACAGACTAACACAGAGAAACACAGAGACTCACAGACTAACATAGAGACACACAGAGACGTACACACAGACACACAGAGACACAGAGAGACACAGAGACACACAGAGACACAGAGAGACACAGAGACACACAGAGACACAGAGACTCACAGACTAACACAGAGAAACACAGAGACTCACACACAGACTTGAATCGTTGCGTGAGTGAGTCAGCGAGTGAGTGAATGAGTGAGCCAGCCAGCCAAGTCAGTCATCCCAGCGAGCCATCCTAGCGAGCCATCCCAGCGAGCCAGTTCAGCGAGTCATCCCAGTGAGCCAGCCAGCCCAGCGAGCCAGCCAGCCAAGTCAGTCATCCCAGCGAGCCAGCCCAGCGAGCCAGCCAGCCAAGTGAGCCAGCCATCCCAGTGAGTCATCCCAGTGAGTCATCCCAGTGAGTCATCCCAGCGAGCCAGCCAAGTCAGTCATCCCATCCCAGTGAGCCAGTCATCCCAGCGAGCCAGTCATCCCAGTGAGTCATCCCAGCGAGCCAGCCAAGTCAGTCATCCCATCCCAGTGAGCCAGTCATCCCAGCGAGCCAGCCAGCCAGAAGTGAGTCATCCCAGCGAGTCATCCCAGCGAGCCAGCCATCCCAGTGAGCCATCCCAGCGAGTCATCCCATCCCAGCGAGCCAGCCATCCCAGTGAGTCATCCCATCCCAGCGAGTCATCCCATCCCAGCGAGCCAGCCATCCCAGCGAGTCATCCCATCCCAGCGAGCCAGCCATCCCAGCGAGTCATCCCATCCCAGCGAGCCAGCCATCCCAGCGAGTCATCCCATCCCAGTGAGTGAGTCATCCCAGCGAGTCATCCCAGCGAGCCAGCCATCCCAGCGAGTCATCCCATCCCAGCGAGCCGTCCCATCCGGCCTCTCCCCACCCACCGCTCGTCCTTCCCCTCCACCCCCGCCGCCTCCAACCCCACGCCCCCCTCCGCGGCCACCGCCGCTGCCTCCTCCTCAGCAGGAGCCGCCGGAGCCGCCGGAGCCGCCGGAGGCCTCCGGCGATTGAGGAGGAGCGCCGTGGGCGTGCAGGCCGGCTCCAGGCCTCGCCGCACCAACAGTCGAGCGGCGCGGCCCATGCGAAGGCTGTCGGCCCGCCACACGTGAGAGGCCACGAGGCCCAGGGCACACAGCCACAGGGCGCCCGAGGCCAGCGTCAGGCCCAGGTCGGCCGGAGAGGCGACCCCCCCGGTGGAGTGGATGTAGCCGCACATCTTGGTGGTGGGGGGGTGGGGGGGGTGTGGGGGTGGGGGGGTGGTGGGGGGGTTAGTGGGGGGGTGAGCACGACAGCGGTGGTTGTGGTTGTTGTTGTTGTTGTTGTTGTGAGTGAGTGAGTCCGGTAAGAGCATCCATCGCGTGTAACAGCGCGGTGGGCACAGAGGTGGCGCTTGCACTCACGCGCGCACACACACAGACAGACACAGACAGACACACACACACACACACAGACAGACACACACACACACAGACAGACACACACACACACAGACACACACACACACACAGACAGACACACACACACACAGACACACACACACACACAGACAGACACACACACACACAGACAGACACACACACAGACAGACACACACACACACAGACAGACACACACACAGACACACACACACACATATACACACACACAGACACACACAGACACACACACACAGACACACACAGACACACACAGACACATACAGACACATACACACACACAGACACAACAACAACAACAACAACCGCCATTCGCCACTAAGTGGCGGTGACGTCACCACGACGCTTGTGCCAGGCTATGTGCACCCTGAGGCCACGTGAAGTGACAGACACACACACACAGACACATACACATGCACACACACTCACACACAGAGACACACACACACACACACGCACACACACAGACACACACACAGACACACACATACACACACACACTCACACACAAAGATCAAAGATCCCCCATATAGCCTTAACAGACTGTAGGGGCAAGTGCTGTTAGCGAGCACCTATGAAGGCCGGAACGGTACACGAGGGGGTGGGTGGCCAGGACCACGCCCGACCGCCTTTTTCTCCCTAGTGGCAATGTTTACTACACAACGCACCAGGTACTCATTTGAGGCTGAGTCGACCTAGGGGAGGCCTGGGACTGGTTCAGATAATCGTCACTGGTGTTGGCCGTGAGCGGGAATCGAACCCGGGTCGCCAGGTTCATAGCGCAGCGCGCTAAACGCTACTACACTACCGCTCCCTCCTCTCTCATCCACCACAAGTGGTGGTGGTGGGGAGCGGAGGGCGACCTTCGCCTATATCTTCGTGACCCGGACGAGCCCCCAAAATCCACTGCGGTGGGCCGGCCCCTCCCCTCTCATCGCTCCTCTCTCATCGCTCCTCTCTCATCCCTCCACTCTCATCCCTCCTCATCGCTCCTCCACTCCTCTCTCATCCCTCCTCTCTCATCCCTCCCCTCTCATCCCTCCTCTCTCATCCCTCCTCTCTCATCCCTCCTCTCTCATCCCTCCTCTCTCATCCCTCCTCTCTCATCCCTCCTCATCGCTCCTCCACTCCTCTCTCATCCCTCCACTCTCATCCCTCCCCTCTCATCCCTCCTCTCTCATCCCTCCTCTCTCATCCCTCCTCTCTCATCCCTCCTCTCTCATCCCTCCTCTCTCATCCCTCCTCATCGCTCCTCCACTCCTCTCTCATCCCTCCTCTCTCATCCCTCCTCTCTCATCCCTCCTCTCTCATCCCTCCTCTCTCATCCCTCCCCTCTCATCCCTCCTCTCTCATCCCTCCTCATCCCTCCTCTCTCATCCCTCCTCTCTCATCCCTCCTCTCTCATCCCTCCTCTCTCATCCCTCCTCTCTCATCCCTCCTCTCTCATCCCTCCTCTCTCATCCCTCCTCTCTCATCGCTCCTCTCTCATCCCTCCTCTCTCATCCCTCCTCTCTCATCCCTCCCTCTCATCCTCCTCTCTCATCCCTCCTCTCTCATCCCTCCCCTCTCATCCCTCCTCTCTCATCCTCCTCTCTCATCCCTCCCCTCTCATCCCTCCTCTCTCATCCCTCCTCTCTCATCGCTCCTCTCTCATCCCTCCTCTCTCATCCCTCCTCTCTCATCCCTCCTCTCTCATCCCTCCTCTCTCATCCCTCCTCTCTCATCCCTCCTCTCTCATCCCTCCTCTCTCATCCCTCCTCTCTCATCCCTCCTCTCTCATCCCTCCTCTCTCATCCCTCCTCTCTCATCCCTCCTCTCTCATCCCTCCTCTCTCATCCCTCCTCTCTCATCCCTCCACTCTCATCCCTCCCCTCTCATCGCTCCTCTCTCATCCCTCCTCTCTCATCGCTCCTCCACTCCTCTCTCATCCCTCCTCTCTCATCCCTCCTCTCTCATCCCTCCTCTCTCATCCCTCCACTCTCATCCCTCCTCATCGCTCCTCCACTCCTCTCTCATCCTCCTCTCTCATCCCTCCTCTCTCATCCTCCTCTCTC